CTATTCTCTTGGTTGGACTTTCTTACTTGGTTTCTTCTCACTTTGCCTCTAGCCTTCGGATGTGTATTTTTCGTTACATCTTTCCCAGTGACAGCCTCCAAATCCGGTCGCGCACACGCTCATTTCGCCGTGGCCCTTTGGTCGCGAAAGCGGCCCGCGGACCAGGCCACCCTTATCGTATACCGTAAGCCCTTGCCGCGGTGAGTTTGAGTAGGAGCCCCGTTCTTTGCGTCCTTGCTCCTAGCAGCACAGCCAGGAGCCCCTAGTAGCGTCCTTGCCCCTAGTGTGGCCAAACCAAGTCAAGGAAGTCACCTTGGCAGGAAAGTTGTGCGTTGCGGCCGTAAGGTTTGGCATGTTCAATCTTGAGCGTGATGTCTTTTTCAATACATATGTGAATCAGACGCACGTTGCAAATTGTAGAGCGAGGGTTCCATGGCATAGCAACTTGTGATACCCCGTCATGGGTTGGCAGGTCCCTTTCAGGGTTGGAGCAAAACAGTCGCAGCCTAGTGAGACTGTAGATTACGTGAAAATGATTGGCATGACAAAAGTGCTGTGTGGCCTGTTTCATGGCAAACAGTTGCCAGATTGCTACTAGGGGCTCCTGGCCCTACTACTAGTAACAAGAAGCTACTAGGGGCTCCTGGCATCGCTACTAGGAGCAAGGACGCTACTAGGGGCTCCTGGCCCAATTTATTTGTTTTGTCCAATTTGCCCTCTGTCTTGAGCCTCAGTCTTTGGGGATCGCTGAGAGCCATGTTCTGTTTTCGTTTGCAAATGCAACATGCGAGTGGGTACCAGCGAGTCTGTTTTGAACTCGCAAGGGCATTTCTATTAGCAGCTAGAAGCGGTTGGAGGCCATCGCCACACTAGTCTTTGCTTTTGAATTGGAAGTGGAAGGAAACATCCGTGCGCAATAGTGTAACAGTGTCTCTAATTGTGCTTTATGGCGGCGGTGTCGGTAGTGGAAAATGCTGCAACTGCCACAAAATGTGAAACTCCAGTTTTACAAGACACATCTTCCGTGCGAGAGCTCCTCAAACTTAAATATGGGTTATTTCTCAGAAGCTCCAGATTCACCATCATAAAACTTGCCCTATGTCCTACACATGCCACTATCAGTGGACTTAGGACGATAAAAACACAAAGATTCTACTGCAAACATAGGCCATCGCAAGTAGGTTGGAGGCCATCGCTACTAGGTAGCTATTTGCTAGTAGTAGCGATGGCCTCCAACCGAATAGCAATGGCCTCTTAGTAGCTTCTTGTTCCTACTCGGCACCACACCAAGAGCACACAGCGCACTGCACCATCCGTTTGATACCAATGACGACTTGTGTGTGTGTGTGCGCCATCTTACTGCGCCTTTCGCTTTTCGGCAGGTGAAGATTTCACTCTTGATCAAAAATAGAGGGAAAAAGAAAACACAAAAATACACAAAGGAACTCTTCGCTTTCGCTACTCTGCTCCTTCTCAGGTGGGATTCTTACGCAAATGAGCAGCCATGATGCATAGATGCCAAGCAGTGCCTTGAAGGAATAGCTCAGCACCTCTGTAAAGGATGGACAGCTTTTGCTCCTGTGTGGAACCTTCTGATATGGCAATTGCTTTCTTTGACGGCTGGGGTCAAAATCTGCATCTGCAAGTCGTTGTGGTGAAAAGGCCCCAGGCAAAAAGTCGGCCATTGAGATTGGAACGTCGAGCCAGCCAAAGGCCCTTAAGCGAAAGGACACGTAAATGATGAGGCCAAAGACAAAAATGATGGTCGCCAGCAGAATCGAACAAGTGCAATAGTTCCGCATGAATGAGTCAAAGCCTTGCGAGTTGAGCAAGAGTTCCATAGAGCGCTGGGATGTTGCATTCTGTGAGCGAGTGTTTGCATTGAGACACATGACTTTGATTTGGTAGAAAGTCAGCCAATTGTACGGGATATCCCCAATCACGTCCTGATTTTTGGGCTTGAGCTCCGGAGGAATTAAACTCCGCAAGACATCCAAGCCATCTTCATTCTTCTCTTTCTTCTCATCCTTCCCATTCTCAGCTTCGTCTTTTCTCGTATCCTTCCTCTCATTCTCTGATTCTTCTTCTTCTTCTTTCTCTATTTCTTCTCTTCCCTGCGTGCCTGCTTGCTCTGTTTCCCTGACAGCATTGTCCTTGGTGTTGGTCTTAGGCCAATGCGGCAGGTGTCGGGCCACTGCATAAAGTCGCAGGCGAAGTTCGGCAAGGCCGCCACTAAGAGCTGGATCTCGCAAGAGCACTTCTGCCTTCTCTACAGATCCTCGTGACACTGCCAACTCCAAGGGTGTCAATCCACAAATGGAGTAGAAGATAGAGAACCAAGGTCTATTTGTTCTCTCAAGGTCCATTTGCTCCATCTCCTTCCTTAGCACGTGACCCAGAAGGACCACCCTCACCCGTTCCATATGCACCATAGTAGCTTCTTGTTACTAGTAGTAAGGCACTTGTTTCTACTAGCGATGCACTTGTTCCTAGTAGCTTCTTGTTACTACTAGCGATGCACTTGTTCGTAGTAGCTTCTTGTTACTAGTAGTACTTCCTATCTTGTTCTCTCCTCAAACAAACCTCGTTTCTATGCAACTGAATTCTGCTCTTTCTCGCATGATGCTCTGCTAGCTTCAGCGCTGTCCAATTCTGTACACGCTTCCACATTACCTTGTGTTCTGTTTGGGAAACGCTTACATCAACACCTGTTATGAAAAGCATGGACCTCACTTGAAACAAACCCCGAATCTTGCGCATAGGAAACCTGCGTCCTGAGTCCATTCCAGGCTACAAAAAGTATAAAAATGTATTGAGTAGTCTCATGTAGTTTCCAAGGTTTGGCAGGCATACCAGAACGAACTTTTCTGCTGCTTCTGCTGCCGAGTTCGATCGAAACCCTAGGGCCCTCGGAACAGACTGCTGTTGAAAGTCCTGAATGTTTTCAGCACTCAATACAAAGTAAGTAATTACCCCGTACTACTAGCTGTAATGGTTTCTTACAGCTAGGGGTCTGCCAGCGAACAAAACTCAGCGACTGCCGCCCACACATTGGCTGCCAGGGCACTCGGCACACTCACGCGACTCGACAAAGGTTTTATCTTTTCTCCCGACTGGCTCATCTGAGCGCCCATCTACCTGTTTGGTCCACAGTCCACTCTCAACATGCAGGAACTGAGCTTGCCAAACATGAACTCGAAATGAATCAGTTTGATCAACAGTACTTCCATTCCACTGATTTCAGATTTCGAGATCTTCTCTTGTTTGAGATGCCAAGAAAAGCAGGGATCAACTTTTCGAGGCTTGTTTATGTGTTGAGGATTCATGAATGCAATAGAAGCCTGATTGTCAACGGCAGGGCGGAACGTTGCAGTGATTGTAGTATGCGTGAGGAACAGGATGGCAACAATTCTTGCCATGGCATGTGTAAACTCGCACCAGGCGGTACCATGGAATGAAAACACACTGCGCCACAAACGGCTGCAAACAGAAAAAGTGGGTCTTGAATCACTCTCAACGTGAAGGCGTGATCAATTGTGATCATGGTTAGCAAACTGTGTATGGCCAGGAGCCCCTAGTAGCGTCCTTGCTCCTAGTAGTCAGGCCAGGAGCCCCTAGTAGTGTCTTTGCTTCTGTTTTATGCATTTTAGACGCAAAGAAGAAAGACTTCAATTGAACTCATGGCCCACCTCTGAACATCCTCGGAACGGAATTGTTTGATTTGTCGCTCTCATGACGAATGTGTTCAACTGCAGTTCCCTGGGCTTGCTGCTTTCTTCTCCTTCTTGTCTTTCTTGGGTGCAGGGAGCACTTCCTTTGCACTCTTCTTGTCCGCTTTTTTGGGTGATTGTGCTTGGCGACCTCATGCGGACTCATAAGTCTCACACGAATCCAACCACGAATCCAACGCTCTTGGCTCATGGCGCAGTAATTCCTCATCATCCAGCAGTTCCCAGTCATCCAACTCCTTTCACAACAGAAAGAACAGCGCCAAAAGCAGAGACCTCAGATATGGTTTTGAACATTGAAGATGTAGACTCTTGTTAGACTGTATAGCTTCTTGTTCCTAGTAGCTACTTGCTCCTAGTAGATCCTAGTAGTAAGGCCAGGAGCCCCTAGTTCCTACTGGCGATGCCCTTTGCTCCTAGTAGCGTCCTTGCTCCTAGTAGTTGGGTTTCTGTAGACAAAATATACACCTGAAGACCAAAGATGTATCTCGACGGCAGCGAGTCGCCACCTCAGTGTTTTCTTTGATGTCCTTCTTAGGCTTTTCCTTGAAGAGCCTGGGACTATGTGACCAACACGTCAGCGCGGTGCTAATCTTCTTCAGACCCTTCTCTGCCTCTGCCGCGTACGCCTGCTACTACTCCTGTCCTCCTACTCCAGACTCCTACTGCTACTCCTTTCTCCTCCTACTTCAGACTCCTCCTTTGACTTCCTTCTTGAGTCTTTCCTCCTACTCCTTCTTCTATCCTGTCGGTCTTTTCTCGTTTTGTCCAAAATAACTTTGTTACTCCAACGGGTTCAAGTCTTGGCTGGTGACCCTTTCTTTGGGGCTTTTGCTTTATCTTTTTCGTCCTGAAATGATGCGTCTTGCAGCAAAACAAGAGTTACGGAGTCAACTTGAATCCTTGGTCTTTTTCTTGACTCGTCTGTTCTTCTCTTCTGACCTGACTGGTACTCAGCAAAATCTTTAGCCAAAATTGATCTCACTGTCAGACGCTGAGGTGCCGACGAGCTTGAAGAGCGTTGCTTGAGCCCCATGTGAATAGCAAGGGAAACTCAAGGTTCTGTGAATTGCACTTCTACAGCTGCTGCTCACTGCAATGGCAGGCGCTGCTTCATGGGTCATGTAGTATTGGCAAACACTAAGTATTGGCATGACAAACCTGTATGCGTGTATGCGTGTATGCGTGACATGCTTGACATTCTGTGGCTATCAGGAGCTTCGAATAAAACGCACAAAACACCTGCTCAACTTCGAGTTCTAAGGCAAACACCCAAGTAACGCCACGCAGAGACTCAGTCGACTGCAGTTTGGCACAAGCGAAGTGGACGATTGAAAAGGACTTTAAACATACGTTAAGCGAATCTTGAGCAGATTTGAGGTGAGAGCGGATTGAGGTCGAGAAAAGGACGTGCGCCTTGTGTACGCGACACGGACGCAACACACGTGTGTCGCGTGTGACACACCAAGAACTATGACGACCATTAAACAAAAGGAAGGACATTGTTACTTTGTTCTATTGTTTCTGTTTCTTTGTATGTTCTTTTCAAGGCGGGGGTAGGCCACTAAGTAGCTAGCTTAAGTAAGTATAGCTAAGTAAGTAGTCACTAAGCTTTTTCCGAAGCTGCTGGGTAACCCGACCCTGGAAAGTTCAGCTCCCCCAGGGCGGGGAGGAAGCTTCTTTGAAGCGCTTGCACAATTTAGGTGGTTCTTGCATTTTTAGGGAAACTACTAGCGATGGCCTCCAACCTACTAGCTATGGCCTCGACCCTAAGAGCGATGGCCTCCAACCTAATAGGAATGGCCTCCAACCTAGAAGCGATTTGGTTCCCAAATAAAATCTCTTGCAACTCGTTTTCCTCGCAATAAAAGGTCTAAGAGTCTAAGAAAAGACGGAAAGAAAACGAATCCACACACTAAAGATCTCATGCAACACCTTCAAGATCTGCATTACGGGATGCTACAAGCTTCTTGGCCCTTGGCTGTCCCCTCACCCGTGGATCAGCATCAGATCCCTTGAGGCTGCAACGCTTGAGTGTGATGAAGAGCATCACATGGTGAATCAAAACATATACACACTAGCTTCTAGCTTAATTTATTTTAAGCTTCTGTTGTTTCTAATAGCTCCTTTGTTACTACTAGTAAGGCACCTGTTACTACTAGCGTGGCACTTGTTCCTAGTAGCTTCTATTGTTTCTACGTTCGCTTCTTTGTTACTATATACTAGTAAGGCACTTGTTACTAGTAGCGATGCACTTGCTCCTAGTAGCTTCTTGTTGTCACTTAAATGTTTTTTTTCAAGCTTTACAAGATGCCCAATTGTGCGACGGGCAACGCTGATCAAATGATTTCACGGCTGCCTGTCGTCGCTGCCGCATCTTGGACTTCAACAGCACCTTAGCAGGTTTCCCCAACAGCGATTTAGCAGTCTTGAAGCTCGGTTTATGTTCAATTTGCATCGCTAGTAGTAACAAGTGCCACGCTAGTAGTAACAGGTGCCTTACTAGTAGTAACAAGAAGCTAGTAGAAACAATAGAAGCTACTAGTAACAAGTGGCTGCAGTGTCGGCCACGCACCCACCCGAATCCACCGACAAATCCTGATTGGCTGCTTGAATCGACCAGCAACTTAAGCACTCCAACCTAATGATTGCGATGGCCTCCAACCCAGAAACGATGGCCTCCAACCTTATGTTTGCTTAAGTTGTTTAGCCATTTCTGCTTCCACCAACGCCTTCAGCAGCTGCTTGTCTACAGAATGTGCACAAATGTCCGGAATTCCTTTAGTTTGGAGTGCCTCCACAGGAACCCCCACTGAAACTGCAGACTTGACTTGAGAAACCAATGGAATCGAATAAGTCCCTGGAGGTACACTTTAGGCCCATGAGGATGCACTACATTAGCAAGCTAAGCACCGGCAGAATGAAGGGGAAAGCAGAAACCCACCACGCAACGGCTCCAAAATCGGAAAGCGTAAAAGTCAAAGAAAATAGGACATTTGTTACTAGAAGCGATGCACTTGTTCCTAGTAGCATTTTGTTACTACTAGTAAGGCACTTGTTACTACTAGCGATGCACTTGTTACTACTAGGGTGGAGTCAAAGAAAATAAGGGAAATGTCTGCCTTTCGTCTTCACCAAGAACACTCGGCACAAAGAGTGTATCGAAAGGGGCGTCTAGCTTTAACCAACGCATCTGGCACTGTCAGCAAAATGAAGGCAAAGCACTTTTGCGCCAAAATCGCTTAGTTTCCCTGAAAATCTAGGAACTAAATCGCTTCTAGGTTGGAGGCCATCGTTATTAGGAACAAGAAGCTACTAGGGGCTCCTGGCATCGCTACTAGGAGCAAGAACGCTACGTTCGGGGCTCCTGGCCGTACTACTAGGAGCAAGAAGCTTCTA